GTTGACAATATCAATGGCGATATCGTTCGTATATAAATACGTTGGAATAATTACGTTTACACTATATTGACATCGAGTACATCATTATTGTTATCATAGCATTAAAGGCTATGATAATTAAAATAAAATTAAATTGAAACTGAAATGTGTTTTTATGAATTGAAATTATACTTAACAACTATTTAGTGCATGTTGTTTATGTAGTTCAATGCCGGCAAAATAAGACAATTTCATATTATTTAATATTAAAGTGCATTGATGTCTGTTTAATTAATAGCGATTTTATAGGTTAATAATATATTCATTCAAGCAAAAGAAAGTTCGATATTTAATGAACTATGTTGATAAATAAAGATTTACAGTGGAATGATAGTATAGAATCTGAGATTCAACAAACGTTTCCGGATTTTGAAGCCATGGGTGCGTGTTATTTTTTAAAAATGATGTTTCATTCACTTTTTTTGTTACAGTTGTATATAGTATATAGTATAGTAAATAGTTATTACATTTTATCTTTTTTATTAAAGTTTTTAATAAATAACGAGTTTATTGATTAAAATTCATGAACAAGGAATATTATATTTGTTTCTCTTGTTGATAGAAAATGAAATATATTTAATAATTAAAGATTATATTTTTACAGACTCTGATTGTTCCCTTCTTTCAGACGATTTATTTCAGTCTTTAAGTTCTGAATTAGGCATTCCTTTGTTCTTTGAAACTGAAATACCTCTAAAGATAGATAGTGGTATTGATGATTCATCAATTAATACCCAAGATGATGGTATTGATAATCAGATTATAGAAGATATATACATAGGGGAGCAATCTACTAATTTAAAAAATTCTGATTTAAATGTTCAACAACAATCTTCAGGTATCTCATATATCTTTTTCTTCTCTAATAAGCTAATATTTATTTATTAACAACATTCAACAATTAACAAATATCAACTGCAGTTACAGATGTAGATAATGATGTGAAAATGGAAATTAAATTGGAACCTGCAAGTCCTTATATTCAATTGCCTTTGTCTCCTGCTTCAAGCCAATGCGAGTCTAATAGACTAGATTCACTAGTTGAAACAAATTCTATTTCTTCCATTTGTGATTTTAAGGTATAGTTACAATGTTTTATTGCAAAAGTTAATTATGTTAGACCCAATATTTATATATTTTACCTGTTGATTTGTTATAGACAAGTCTGGAAACACCACCCATCTCTCCTCCACAAAATGTTTCACCACCTATATCTCCACAACCGATTTCAAACACAGCTATCGCAAAACAAGTAAAATTTATGCCATTTAAACTTCAAGATACCAAAGAATCAAAATTTACCCTTTCTAAAGTAAATTCTACTAAACGTGTTCGAGTTCAACCAAAAGATAATATCCAACTTGTTACTGATGGTAAAGTGATAACCTGTGCTTTGATAAATTTTACTTTTATAATATCTACTTTTGAATTACGAATTTTATATTTTTATATATTTAATACTTTACAGACCAACCTCAGAATGCTATATTTTTGAATACGCAAAATTTTGTTGCACTTAGTCAACAAATTAAGCAAAATTATATATCATATCCTTTCAGTACTCATTTTACATCAACTAATGCAATAAAGAAAACTCAAGCGTCAGTACAGCTCCCATCGGTGCAAATAAAAACAGAAACAAATTCAATTCAACTACCACAAAATAATCATGTGAAAGTAATGGATAATATCCCTAGCATATATACGTCAGGAAAAGATCAAACAATAAATATGATTGATACACCTTTGATTCTTAAGAATGACACAGCTGGATGTACTCCTATAATTGTAAAAAATGATTTGGATACATGTAGGCCAATAGTAATTAAAACAGAGAATTCAAATTATACTCCAATTGTTATAAAGAATGAAATGCAAGATATTAACTTTGCTGGGCGGCAAGAATGTGAAATAAAAGCATTGAAAAGGCAGCAAAGGATGATAAAAAATAGAGAGTCAGCTTGTCTATCGCGGAAAAAGAAGAAGGAGTATGTATCTTCATTAGAAAAACAGATTTATGAGTTGCAGCAAGAAAATAAGCAATTAAAAATGGTAAAAATTACATGAAATAGAAATATATGTTGGAGTAATGTGTTAGTTACTGATTGTACTAAAATTATGTTTACATCAGGAAAATATAAACTTAAAGCAGAAGCTTTCATCCTTGGAACATGCAAGTGCTAGTAATAAATTTAAAAGTATAAGTCTAAATGCGAGTAAAAGGAATGTTGCTATTCTTTTAGGAATGGTTGTTATGGTATCGTTAAACGTTAATGGTTTCAAGTAAGCTTATAATAAATTTATTATTCGTTTATTCTTCTCTATTTGTTTGTTCTGTATCGCAGATCATCTGTAATTAGTTCAGATTCATAGATTAGAAAAAATGGCTTCTAAAGTGAAAATTTCTTGTAGGGATATATTTTCGCGAAATAATCAGTTGGATATATTATCTAATGACGTTCCAATTAGCGCACAATATGCAAGACATGGAAGAACGCTACTCTGGACATCTAGAGATCAAACTCAAGAAGAAGATGAAGATGGGTTTCGTAAAAATATATCGATACCACAACCTATGTGTCCAATGCATATTAATCACAGTGAATCAATCCGTTTAGATTATGAATTGAGGCGCTGGATCGGTGGAAAGTCTGATCAAGATAATTGGACTACGTTGAAAAAAGCAAAATTGGATGCGAAGCTTATAGGAGAGTTTCTATCTTCGCCTCCGCATGCAATGCAAACTAAAACTAAACGTAAACGTAATTTAGCAGAAAAAAGTAAATCTGAGATACTTCGAAAGACAAATGACTCATCGATATCGAACGCAGTGGAAGTTTTTTCTCCAATAATAAAAGAACATGCTTCTTTGTTCGAAGCTTTAGGAAGGAGAGACGATACCTTTTATGTAGTTTGGTTTAGTGGAGAACATTTGCTTTTGCCAGCTTCAAGCAAAAATAGCACAGGCAGACCAAGGATGTCATTAGTTCTCCCTGCGCTTCCTATGAATGGTATAAATGTTTTCTATTTAAACTACATATGTGTATATAGCATAAAATGAAGAACTATTATTTTATTAGATGGATCTAATATTTGTTTTAGAAACCTTTTCAACACCAGCAAATCATATAACTATGATGCAAATTGATTGTGAAGTTACCAATACCCAATTATTGCATTTACAACAATCAATTATACCTAATTTGAAAACTACCAACAGATCTGAAAGTCATACTCATCAGTCAGATGGAGTATCTGATGCAGTAACAGCAGATATAACTAAGAACTACAAACCATATTTTATCAAAAAAAGTAATCACAAAATGTTCCAAAAGAAAGATTTTAAAGACATATATGTTGATAAAAACAGTAAAGATTATAACAAGACAACCGCGTATATATTAAAACAGAAATTTATTTCAGAATTTGATTTAGAAGAGGTGAAAACTGAATTGTTAAAAGATTTGAGAAAAACTGATTCTTCTGCGAAATTTACGACATCGCAAAAGAAACAAACGTGATAAGTGGTTATGATATTTAAAAGAAGTTTGTTTCTGTGACACTATATTAAAAAATAATGCTAGGTACCACATGCATATTAAATGAATAAGTAAGTAAATGTCTTGTATTCTTAAAAATTAAAAAGAGAAGAGATTTTTTATGTTTATTTTAAAAATTATATACTATATATTTCACCAGAGGAATATAATACATAATTAAGCACAAGTCGAAAATAAAGTTGAAAACTTTGAGAGTTCGATTATGAGAGATATTTGTGAATATGAATTTAAAATTGCAGTTTTGTATATGTGTTTAAAAAAGAATAAATAAATAAATAAAAGCTATATATAAAATGTGTATTTAAATATATTATAATATTATATATTATTATATAATACGTAATATATATTATATATTAAATATATTGTAATATAATATAAAAATATATATAATATTACATATATGTATATATATACACAAAAAACTATAGATTTATGACTATAAATATTCAGATTAAACGTTGACTGCCACGCGTGTTTTCAAAGAAATCTCTGTCAGGCCACGTGTGCAGCAGTAACAAGCGTTCTCTGCTAGGTGCTTCCATCGATATTTTAGTAATGCGAATCGCTCAAGTGGTGGTCTCAAGAATGATCTTTCGTTTCATTTGTTCGCAACATTAAAACCACTAGCTGTTGTTGAATATAATGAAAGAAAATGTGGTATAGATTATTCCGACCAAATAGTTTCTTATGCCACCACAATTAGAAAAGGAATCAAATGGTACAGAAAACTTCGCATTCAATTCTTTCTGGGAATTTCTGTCGTAAACGCTTTGAAGGATTACAAAATTGCAACAAGAAAAAATATAAATATTAGAATATTTAGACAATTATTAGTTGCAAAATTATTAGGGTTGTCTGAAAATACAAAAAATCCTTGTCTTCGACGGAGTCAGCATAATATCGCCGTTCGGAAAAATGATTCCGGAAGAAGCATTAGACGCGCATGCAAACTATGTTATGCAAATAAAAGACGTCGAATAGACCGAACAAAGGCACAAAAAAATTTGAAGAAAACAACAACTTATTGTCCAAATTGTCCCGACCAACCTCAGCTATGTATAGAATGCTTAAAGTTTTACATTCTAAATAATTTTTTTAATAAACCATTTTCGTATTTTTATTTTATAACAATTCAACTATTATTACAATTAATTATTAATTAACAATTTATTATTATGGAATATCTTTTCAAATACCTACGACAATCCTTTGCAAGTAGTCAAATAAGCAACACTCGAATACGGGTTACGTGACCTGACCAGAAACTTTGCTGACACCCGAATACGGATGTTGTAGCGGTCAACGTGTTAATATATTATGACATATTAAGCATGACCATACTTTTATACAAGATGATTGTGTATATATTTTTGGTTTCCAAATTTTATAGACATTGAGCAACTTTTTATCATATATAGTTTATTTTATTTACTATTTTATCATATCAAAGTTTGATTCATTTTACACAAATGTAGCACAAAATACGAAAATTTTACATACAGTGTACTTATAATCTGAACAAAGTATAAAGATTTGAAATAAATGTTAACATTAAAATTACATTAACGAAATAGTTAATAAAGTACAGCGCATTAATAAATAAATCAATTCATTTTCCATAGACATACCAGTATAGAATTTATAGATAACACATACAAATACGGCTATTTTAAATTGGGGGTAGATCCGCCTAAATAAGATTTTAAGTCCGTTATTGTAGATTGTATTAGTTTCGCTCTTATGAATGGTCTTCCAAGTCTTTGATGGGCTGTATATCGATGACATCCGCCAAAAGAGTAATAATAATCGCCGCCTAAAATAAATAAAAAAAAAAATACAGTTATTGCACAGAATTAACAAAAGTTGTTTCTGTTATCACATATGTCGTGAATAAAAGAGAAAAAAAGAGATAAAATTACTGTTATTACCTTCGCTTCCTTTAATCCATAAAACATCGATTGGCGGTACCAATGATACTGTTTCAGGGTCGTTCAATGTATTCATTAAGCTTTGTACCTTTTCTTCATCGACAATTGGAGGAATTGGTCGGATAAGTACGTTCATTGGAATATCATAAACCTCTGTGTGTGTATCAGAATGAATGCTAATACATCTTTCATTGTTCATTTTTGATTCTAAATTTATAAGATAAAATAAGAAGCTAAATATTCAATTACAAATAATATAGTCAAATTGAAGTAAAAAGTACTAATTATATGATTAATATTTTCTTACGCAAGTACTTGCGAAATGTGGAAAATGTTACAAATTGTTTCGTTCTAAGTGGCATTAATATAATATGTGATTATAAAAATCTGTAACATGTGTATATGATTAGTTTAACATATTGTTTACTGGACATTATTTAAATATGCGTTTTTATGTTTAAAAGCCAAACTATGTTTAAAATAATATATTAAAACTACATATACTTACGAACGATGTGTGATGTCCGTGATAAGTTACGTATAAGACGACTCTGAATGTGAAGTGTTTAGAGAGGGGATAAGATAAGAGTGGGGATGATGATGATGATGATGATGATGATGATGATGATGATGATGATGATGATATGTATTAATGACAATAAAAGAATCAGAGTGTCCTAATTCAAAAATTTCTCTTTGTCTGTATGATTATATATCTTTGTTATGTTTATATAGAGAATTATAATTGAAAGAAAATATTTAAAATATTATTCCAAATTTAGTGGTTGCTTAGCTAAAAACAAAATTATATGTTCTGCTAAGTGTTTGTATGCATCAGCTTGAATACTTTCCGGTGCAGATAACACAATTGGTTTACCACTATCACAGCTATTTGCAATATCCTTTGACAAGGGAATAGATTGTAAAATTTGTACACCTAGAAGAGAAGAAAAGCTAAAAGGTTAAATAAAACTAATATATATATGTCCATAAATGTAATACCAAGTTCCTTAGCAACTGTTTGGGTTTCACCATTATAAAGAATTATTTCATTTTTGCACTCTGGACATATAATATTGCTCATGTTTTCTACAATTCCAATAATTGGAATATTTAGACGCTTAAACATATTAGCTCCTCTTCTCGTTACTTCTAAGGCTGCTTTTTGAGGTGTAGTTACTAATAATGCACCAGCAACTGGAAGATTTTGTATGATTGAAAGATGTGTGTCCCCTGTTCCAGGTGGAGTATCTATGACAAGATAATCCAGTGGATTCCATGCCACTTGACGTAACAATTTATCAATGGCACTCATTACCATTAATCCTCTCCAAATTACAGGAGACTTATCATCAATTAAAAAGCCCATAGACATGCTATGTATAAAGGAAAGTTTTACAGTTTAAAGAATACTGACAGAAATACAAGTAAAATGTGCAACATTGTTCCCTCACCATTTGATACCATAATTTATAAGGGGTTCTATAAGATTTGTATTATTAACTGTAGGAGATTGTTGTATATTCATCATCAACGGAATAGATGGGCCAAATACATCGGCATCGAGTAAACCGACAGACTTTTGTGGTTTGATAGTTTTTAAAGCGATACATAAATTTACGGCGGTGGTAGATTTACCAACTCCACCTTTCCCAGATGCTACGACAATTATTTGCTTGACACCTTTCAGCGGTTTTGATTTTGGAAGACCACGTGCCATTAGCTCTTTTTGTCTTGTTTCTATTTCTGTTTTTCTTGGTTCGTCGAGAAAGACGAAATGACTCTAAAGCAAAACAATTATTAATTATAAAAATTTTTAATAAAATGCAAGAGAAAAATATTTAGCTAAATGTTTTACTATATACACTGATACGTATACAAAGCTGTATCGTCCTTAACATAAAATATTAGTAATTTTTACACGTATCAGACACAATTGAATAGTAGCGAGTTATTAAAAGGCGTAAAAAATATTGTAAATAATGTAAGAAATGTACATACTAATGAAATCGATCGGTACTTATTTGCACCATTATAATTTCGCTGAAGACGTATGAAAATTTTCATAGAGGTGAATGCTAACATTTTCAATAGATTTACTTGATGGAACTAGTAGTACGTTTCTTCTAACCTGACATTTCGAATCGCGTGATCGCGGAATCTTTTATTTCATAGATCAAGAGAATATGGCATACGAATATTAAGAGATTTTTTCCTGTATATGAGTTTTATATTAACAATTCGCTGATATACAGTGTGATAATACATTTTTATAACTTTTATTTACAGCGATGGAAAATTTTACTGTTTCTGCCTATAAGTAACATAAATGTTTAACGCGAGGGCGGTGCAGTTTTTCATTAAAGCGAACTACATATCAGCAATCCGGTGCAATTTAAGTTTGACATAAATATGTGAAAGTAAGATTTTTTTGTATTTTTTAATACTTTTTTAATTGATCTCTTGTCTCTACAACTTTTAATTCTAAGATTGAAAGTTAATATTATTATTTATAATATTTTTGCTATTCGTATTATCGTTGGCTTGCAGTTAACCTAACTCGTCAGTCGTAACATGGATATATTGACTTTCGTATATTAATTAAATTGTATTATGTGCAACGTTCGTCAATATTTTATTTTATCGCAGCCTCAAGGCTCCAGATGTTATGATGCAACTATGTGTATTTATTTGTTGATTTCATCTACATAATTCGAAACAAAAATTACGACATCGTTTTTACAATTTTACAAAATTACAATCGTTTGTATGCATTGACACTATTATAAATACAACTGATATATGAATTGTTGCTCAACATCTCTTTGTTCACCATCTTCCATAATAATATGCAATAAATTATATATTGATGTATAATATATCTTTGAAAATAAGTATAATAAATAAATGTGTATGCATATATATATATATATATATATATACTTAATGTGGATAGAAAACTTCTTTATATGTTTGTTCTTCACATATTACAAAGTTCAGTACTTCGTATATGTGAAGTAAAGTATAATTACATATCTACTTTGTTTCCATAGATAAAACATTTTATATAGAAATTCAAGGTACACAGAATATGGGCCTAAACGCAGCTGTACAAGCTTTAAAGTAAGTTGAAGATAAAGAAATTATAATCAAGTACCTGTAACTATTAATATTATAATACAAATACCTATATAATATTTGTTGAAAATCCATTTGATTACTATTTTTATTAGGAAAGCAGAGCCTTTAAAGGACAAAGTACAACGGTGCAGAGATCTTCTAAATGATAGTGATGCGTGGGTATGCCAGCAACAGCTACAGAAGATATATCAACAAGTTCTGATATTGGATTTGGAATATGCTTTGGACCGGAAAGTTGAGCAGGAACTTTGGAATCTAGGATTTAAAAATTATATAGCAACTTTACAATCCCAGGCAAAGGATAGGAAAAATCCTAAACGTGGAGAATCTCAAGCTTTACTTAGCTGGTGCTTGGAAGCTGCTAGTGGTTTTTATTTGACATTATTACAAGAAATTTGTACTGCATTTGATTTAGATTTACCATTTAGAAGGTAATTTAGATAGAATCAATTATAGGATGCTTATATTTTTTATTTTGTTATAAATTCAATTTATATCATACACGATTTGTGCAAAGTATTTTGTAGAACAAAGTTTATAGGTGTGATATTTTTTAGGAAGGGTTACATTTATGGATGTACATCACCATGGAAAGCTATTGAAAAGTTATCAGTGCCTCATAAATCTTCATGTTTTTATGCGTGCCAATATTGCCTTGTGCATTTAGGGGATATTGCTCGTTATAGAAATGAAAGTAAACAAGCGGAGTTATTCTACAGGCATGCTGTATCATTGTCACCATCCAGTGGACAACCATACAATCAATTAGCCCTCCTTGAGGCATCGCGCGGTAACAAATTGGCAACTGTTTTTCATTACACACGGTCTGTAGCTGTAAAACATCCTTTCCCCGTTGCCACAACGAACTTGGCAAAAACATTATCGTCTGCTTTGAACGATACATCGCTGAATATAGATGGAAAAACAAAATTATCTTCTCAAGAATATGTAGCAGTTTTTTTGAAACTTCATGGCGTTATCCACAATCTTGGCGACTTAAAAGTTGCTTCAACATATGCGAAATTATTAACTGAGACATTGACAGCCTTAGTTGCTACAGAAAGTTTTAGCTCTTGGATGCTTGTTCAAATGTTTGTGATTAACTTGTATGCCTTGGAACATACAACGAGTGTTGTCATGGGTAATAATGAACCGTTAAGACACGAACAATTAACATCTGATGAGAAGATTGCTCGTGATTGTATTTTGGATCTCATAGCTGGAAGCCTGTCTGCTTTATTGTTACCTGTTTATACAATCAAAAATTCTATTATTGAGTATTTCGCTTTGCCTTCTATAAAACTGTGCCTTGATTGGATTCATACAAAACCCACAGTTTTGGAGGAACTAGCTTTTACATCGAGACTTCAAATTTGGCCCAGCTTATGCGTATTGTTGAACGCTTTGCAAAACTGTGTGGCCGATTTCGCATATGATCAATATATTAAGGTACCACTGCCAGAGGATCGTGACCTACAAGGATTCTTACCGTTAGAGAAAAGTTTCGAATGTTTAAAATTTACGAGTACCGATTTAGAAGATAATGTCGAGGCTTCCAATAAACTGCGTGCAGTTCGTATTCTTCGTTTAGGTCATTGTTTAGCACAATATAAGGTCAATGGTACTGCGTTAATTGCTATTACATTAGGTGAAGAAAAGGGTGACAACAGGTTCAGTTCTATGAGTGAAGGAAACGGTTTGAGTAATGAATTGATGAAAGAATTAGAAGAACTCAGTTTAAATAGAGGAAGACAGTCTGCTGTATCAACTAGTCCAGTTCTCTCAGAGTCTGCCAGCAGTAAAGGTTCTACTGACGTCGATATGTTGGAACATGCCTTAGATAAGAGGATAGGTATCTTGAAGCCTCAAGGTTCGTTAGAGCGAAGTAAAGACACGGTTTTGATCACCTCTACGGAATCCAGTACTTTTGAAACTAATGTCCAACCTACTACAAGGAAACCAAGGCAAAACATAGCGATGCAAACGATAATGCGACGTGCTGAAACTGAACAAAAACAGGTTACGTTTAAAAATTTGTCTCCATTAAACGTAGAAGAGGAGAGTGAAAAAAAATTTAAATTGAGTGGAGCATCAGTGAGTCCAGTAAAAGGTGTCCCTCCAGGTGGGAGTAAAAATATGGTTGTTGGAGAAATATCAAAGGCGAACAATGTTTCAAACGCGATTGCGAATACACCAATCACCGTTCAAAGTCGATTACCGTTGATGCCTTCTGCTACATCTACTGTGCAAAGCCCAATCATTACCACTCAAAATCAAGTAAAAACCACAAAATTACAGCACGCTGTCTCAGCACCACAATCTTCTCAAATTAACCATCTTTCTGTAAAAGAACAACAAGCGTCCGGGATTTCGACTCCAATATCTGGAATATCTCAATGTGTAGGGACTATTTGTTATCAAAATCCAACATTTAATGTTCAGAATCCACAATTTACGAAAAATTATGTCACGAATCATGTTGGAAATTTATCGAGTTATCCGATTCAAGGACATTTTACTAGTTCAGTACAACAATCGATGCAATCACAGAGTATAGGTTTACAATATACATCCAGTCAAAATAGGTCTATGCATCAGAGAGCACAGACTCATAACATACCTCAGAATACATTGTTGCATCAAAATCTTGGAATACTGTCTTCAGCTCAGCCGAGTAATGTTATACCAAATGCTTCACAAAATATTAATTCCCAACAAAGTAGAAATATTGGCGTGCAGCAAAATCGTAGTTTGAATACTCAACAGAACCACAACTTGAATGTGCAACAACAGAATGTTATGAAAACTAGTCTTAGACCAAGCACAATATCTTTACATAATCAAGGTTCATTACCTAATTCAACTATTGCAAATGTTTCTACTTTGTCAACATTAAATACATATCAAAAGAAACTTCATCACGCTGCTCCTGTTATACCAAATGCATCAAATGTACCAAGCAATTCGCTAAATCCGACAACTACGCCCAATTTTCAATATAATTTTAATCAGAATGATTTTAATCAGAATACCTTTGGTCAAGTACCACAAAAGCAATTGTCGTCCGTGTACAATAAGAATTCGGATGTTTTGGAATTTTCGTTACCAAATCATTTAGGTATGTCAAAAAATCAGTCTCAGTCCACAACTAATTATCCGCTTTTCCAAAACTATGAAACCACAAATTTCAATCTGTGGAAAGACACTCAACAGTCACAACATTCTATACCTTGCTGGGGTTCAACTAGCAGAAGTATGCAATTACATAGTGAAGATACGTCTGTCATTGAAAACTATCATAATTGGGAAGACTCCTCTAATCCTGGAAACATAATGTCACAAATTCCATTGAGAACTTCAAATAGTTATCCATCAGATTCTCAACAAACCAAGCATTTTGGTACTGGAAGTAATTTCGAAAGTTCTAGATCTTTAGAGGTACATATATATTATATTTTTTAAAAAATTACACATACACGCAAAATTATGGAAATTGTTTACAACAATTGTTTAAATTGTTACATTACATATTCTTGCTTACAGGTAGATAGCAAATCAAATCAATCAATCAGCACAGGAAACACGTATTCTCTATTTAGCAGTAACAATGCATGGGGGTCTAATGTACAAAGTTGTAATGTGTCAAATCAAGATCAAACAAAAACTCGGCTTAATCAACAGTCTTTATGGTTTGGACCTGGACCATCTCCCTTGGAACGGCTTTTGGAACAGCAAAAATCATTACGTGAAGGAGGTACCTGAAGGAAAGCAATATAAGATAATGTCGAAGTATATTGAAAAAAGATATATCCAAATTTTGGATTCAATTAACCAAGGGGATTTAGCAAAACGTATCATAATAAATTCCATCGATCGTTTGACGGAACTGTTAAATTTGTTACAAAGCAACAGCTAGTGAAAAGTTTCGTAGGCGTTTAGGTGTTCGTTGTGTAAAGCGAACAACACATACGTCCAAGGCGTTATGAAACACGCTATATAAAAATGCATAGATGTTAATTACTTACATTAATTGTTGCGCGCATAATAGTAAACGAAGTTATTCTGGTAGTGGATATTGCGCGATGGAGTTTAAAAAACAAAAAATGGGGAAACAAAGAAAAAAGAGGAAAAAAGAAAAAAGCGGTTTTTTTTTCAATGTATTCAGACGTACGTTCTATTTATGTCGCTTTAAAAGAATGATACTCAATGACAAAACGACTCGTCATCAATAAATAATTAGTAATAAGAGTTCCATACATAAACCGCATCATTTAACGCTAACAGCGTATAATCTGTATAAGTTTAAAGATGCGCATTTTACGAAAATGATTAAATCTTTCAATTTATTTTGTAACTCAAAATTATGTACAATTTATCTTTAAAAGTACCGACTTCACAAAATGGAGGAAAAGAAATGGGGAAAAGGAGACACGCATACACAATGTACGAAGAACGTGTAATATATTTGTCTTTTTATCAGCAAGGGAAACAATATATTGGTAAATTTTTAGGTTGAAATTAAATAGAACGAGTAGTATAAAATAGCGTGTATAACATTGTAAAAATGAGAAAGAAATTGAATGTAACGAATATAAAAAGTAATTTTGTTGAAATGACTAAAAGAGAAAAGTTACTTTCGATTATTTTCAAATACATATATTAAACTTTAATGAAAATGATTTGGCGGCAGTTATAATTTACTACCATTTTTACAAATTCCTTCGCTCTATTATTAATGTACATTCAAATGATTTGCACTTCATCAGACAAGACACCTCACTTCTCGTCAGGCAAAGAGGATATGGTTTTTCATAGTGGCATAATACTACCTGTTTCGAGTACAAAATAATTAATAAATATTAGCAAATTTATTCTAACTTAACATTTATAGCAGGTTTAACAATTTAAAGATGTTACCGTCATAAAACGCTGCAAGTGTAAATTTTGATTTTTAAGCATGAGCTCACATTGAAACTGTTCTGGTGAGACATGGTCATCCACAAGCTGTATATTTGCTTGTAGTTCCTCATCATTATGAATCGTTATTTTAAAAAAGAACAACGCCATATTACTTATATTAAAAGCAAAATTATGCTCTTTTGGCAATGTATCTATCTCTATTATACATGACTTTGAAAATCTTTTATTATCTTGATAAACCTAAAACCAAGCATTTTACATCTAAATAAAAGTGCAATAATATTTAAAAAGAATAACAATAATAATAAAAAAGATATATAGTGATTTTAATACCTCATAAAATATATTTTCATGACATTTTCTTAAATGTTTTATAAGTACTGCACAAGGTAATTTATGCCTGCATGACCTTATACAGCAAGGATATGATGAAGCAGTGGCATGTATTGTATATTTGTTTTTATTGTTTTGTCTACAATTGTGATGTGTTTTTCCATTTGTTTGTGTATTAAATTTAATTACTGCATCTGTTTGTGTAGAAATACTTTCAAGTTCTTTCTGAAACATCTTCTTTTCATAGTCAACAATGCGTTGTAAACATTTCTTTTCCACCTGTTTTAATTGATTTTCTACTGATTCCTATTAAACATGCATAACATAGTTGAGAATAATCTTTAAGAGTTTATTTATTCCTACGATTTTTGAAAAATAACTTTATCTATTAGCTTAACAATGACATTATTTTAATGCAGAAAATGATAAATATGTCTGTATGTATAAATAAAAGATATTGCATAAGTTAATAATAATGTCTTGTAACAAGATTCCTGTTAATGAAAGATAATATTTATTTTCATTATAGAAAAAACACATTGTGTTAAGCTCTACAGATATTTGCATATTTAGATATGCATACATTTTCATTAATTTTCGTACAAAAAAAAAGTATTTAGATCATTAGACCTTTATGTGCTCAAGATTATCAATTAGTTGTTCCGCGACTAAGTTTCTGGTTGTAATAAGATCTTCATTGCATATTGGACACTTTGGTACTTTCTTAAAGCAGAAGTGACAGATGTGATGTCCATTCGTACACTGTAAAATCTTTCCCTTGGGTATTTCCAAACATATAGAACATTGAAGTATTTCATACAATATCTTATTCCAGTCCTATAGACGTATCATAATCCATAACAGTTATAACAGTAATCAGTAATATATATGATATTTAATAACTTTAAATAAAATCATAATCAGATTACATAAAGAAAAAAAAACATTTCAATATTTTATATTTCAAGTAAATCTTTATATATTGATGTAAAAGAATATACCTCATTTTTATCCATTATATTAAATTAAAAGTAACTTCAAACTAACAAAATATTTAATATTTAACTTAGCAGCAAACTTAGCAGCAAACTTAGCAGCAAACTTAGCATAAACTTAGCAGTCGTTTTCGTGATTCAATTCTTTATATACCTTGCGGTTGTTTTGTGAATATTCCGGTATTCCCAAGAAACCTACCACCGTGTTAAACTTTATGTCGCTAAAGTACTAGAGTTATATCAGCTATAAAATATTACGATAATCTTGTATGTTCAAAGCAATTTTAAGTTAAATTTTCTTATGAAATATAAAATCGAAAGTCGAAATAATAAATTTTATTTAAGATCACTTAATCCAAATTCTTTAGTGATAATTCTATTCATCATTGCTGATTACCATAACAGATGATGCGTTAAATTAAAGTACTACCAGAAAAGAAATTTCCTTGTTTTCTTTGTTTTTAAACTTTAATATGTTAAGAAGTGCTATTTAAATAAGCAAAATGTAACAAAAAAGTGCCGTAAACAATAATAAGTATTTTTAATTTTATTTTAAAACTATACTTAAACCTAACCTCAATCTAAGAGAAACTCTAGAAAATTTCCTCATTTTCATTTCAATCCAGCTTGAAAGCTAGGGTCGAGCAGCGGGATATTTTTGCGTAGAACTCGGAAACTAAGGTCGAGCGCCGATTATATGTATAGATAAAAATTATTTAAAGTGTTGAACTTTATATCTCAATATAATCGATATGGGAGAGGACGCCTTTCATCGACAACTTTACTGGTTTCGATGTAGTAAGCGAATCGCAAAACAAAAATAATGAAATTTTCTGAGTATTTTGTAAGATCGAGATTAGATTTAAGTTTAATTTTAAAGTGAAATTAAAAATATTTATATTTGTTTGCGACGCTTTTTTTTATCATACTTTGCTCACTTAAATAGCCCTTTTTAACATATTAAAGTTTGAGAAAAATCAGGTACTAACTAAATTCCTCACTATTAGCATTTAATGTAACGAATGCAAATGTTTCAAAACAAAAATTTGTATCTAATTCTAGTCGTTCCTTAGATGATATGAGATGTCTCAATTTACACTCGGAATTTCATGGAAAGAGACAAATGCTTTAAAATACCAAAGTATTAAACTGAGTGCGCGGGATAAGGGTCAGAGTTTTTATCGAAATAAGTAAGAGTTGAGTTAAATAGGTTTGATAATTGTCTCTATATTTGGTTGGTATTGAAGCCAAAGTGATTCCGAGAATTCTCTCTGCTCCTTCGTTACAATTCCTGATTTAGCAAAATGTGAAAATCAATAGGAGTTTATGAGGTCCAATCCGAAGGATAACTCCCATCTCCAAAGAGACCTAATCTAACACTCATCTAATTTTTTTATTGTTTCCAGTTGCATTCTTGTTAGTGGATTTTTGAATCTAGTCAAATTTTTTGTTAAAGGTATCTTTTTTATTGTTACGTAAATTATTTAAAGTATATTTAGAAAGTCATGCCTCAGTAAAGCGCACTTGACAATCATATTGTTCATTTAATGCGGTCAATATGTAATAAATATATTAAATAATAATAAATAATAATAAAATAATAATATATTAAAATAAGATTACATTCTCTTGCGAAATCCTTGATGAAGTCATCAAGGAATATGCGACATATATAAATAAGCTTAAAATTTCGCACATTTAGGCTAGAACCAATCACCAATGCGGTATCAATGTATCATGTGACCGTGTTCCCCACATCCCGAAAATTTCCATCATCTACAGTTGGTTATTCTTCCTGGTTATTTTGTGTCCATTATTAAAACAAGCATTATTTACGAAGGATGAAGCAATAAGGATTATTGTCTGCAAAATGGTATACTTTGGAAGATTTATATTTCTTATGCGGTCGGATAACCTATTGCGCACAAGGTCAAGCTCAAATGAACATTATAATAAAATAAATTTTTACAAATAATTTCGAAGCAATGTGAATAATGGTTAATCCCTCGTGTTCCACGTGTGTATTAGTTTTTTGTTGACATTATTATTCGATCTCCATATATTTAGTTTCAGATCACATATTATTTAATACACACAGCATAACTTATTTTTTAACTTTAATAATATAACAACTTTTCTTGTTATACATGATTTGTAAAGAATATTTCTTTAATCATATGTTTCATAAAACAATATTTCATTATTTTAGAAATTGCTTATTAAATTTGTACCAAAATGCCTCAAAAAGCACATTGAATCAGTTAAAAGATACAATCTTGCCACCAAAACCAAAGAAGCCAGAAAGTCCGTTTCTTTTATATGTGAAACATATTAAATCCAGATTTCTCAAAGAAACACCTAATATGAAATATTCAATGATGTTAAAGAGAGCATCCAAGGAATGGACAGAATTAGATTTTACTGAAAAGGAATGTTTTATAGACCAATATAATACAAATTTTGAAGTATATAAGAATGAATTAAAAGAATATAATGATTCTATTACCGATGAACAAAGACAATTATGGAAAAAAAAGAAAAAAGAATATGAAAAAAAGAATAATGATGTAGGTAATAGACTGATAACTGTGTTGCATTAAGTCATATTATTAATTCATTTTTCATTGATAAATTCATTTTTTATTGATTAGCATAAAGTTTAAAATTAATTGCAGAAACATGAAATGCTTGGAAAACCAAAAAAACCACCAAATGCATATTTTTGTTATATATTATCAAAGAAAAATAATAAAGATCCAGATATTGCTGGTCAGGTATGGCAAACTAATTTCTAATTAACTAAGGTTATTTTATCTATCAGTGATTAATAAAATCAATAATTAGGAATGGTTAAAATTATTGGCCATAAGTTGGAGTGAATTATCAGAAGCGGAGAAGGAATCATATTTCACGGAAGCTACTCAACTTCAGACACAATACCAGAAGGATTTAGAAAAGTGGGAGATGGAAATGATACAATCTGGTCATACTGATGTTGTGAGATGTAAAATGTTAACAAAATATAAGAAAAATACTAAAAAAGAAAATAAGAAATAAAAATTAAAGTGCTCTATTCTATTTTAACTAATTATTTCTATCCAATAAGTTAACAGCAATTTATTTCAATTATATTCAATAACGTTATTATACATTTCGTAAGTTAATGTGGTGATAATAGAAAAGTATGTCGAATCATTTAGAAATTGCATTTAACAAAAGATTTATAAACTTATAAATAAATTTACCACACTGCATAAGCTCCTTTAAGTCATTAAAATAAATTTAAAGGACACAATTTATCTTAGGTCATACCATAAATTCGTGCCGACTTTTGTGTTTCTAAAGATATATCCTTTGTGAGATTTGCTGGGTGTTTCCTTTTTAGTCTTCTTTCTATGGTTGTGTTGATCGTTTCCGTTGCCAGCCGGTTCGGGTGCGTTGCTATTCTTTCTCTGTACCTTCTTGCGAATCTGCTAATCTCTTCCTTAACCGATGGTATTCCAAGGTCTTTCCGTATGTCCTCGTTTCTAACGTACCATGGGGCGTTTACAATTGATCTAAGAATTTTAGCTTGGATTGTCTCTATTTTGCTTATATGGACTTTTGTGTATACATTTCATGTGTCGATTTATAAACATACGGCGATAAGGGACCAATGCATTTGAGCTTAGCTAATCGAGAACAGGCTAGAGCAGATTTTCGTGGGTATAAGATCGTAATATAGTGAACACAGTGACTTCTAACAGTAAAAAATCATGAGTGAAATGCGTATGCATTTTCGACATCTCATGTTATATGAATTTCGGAAAGGAAGTTCTGTAACAATTGCCACGAAAAACATATGTGCTGTTTACGGAGAAAATGCGCTTTCATCTCGCACCTGTAGGAAGTGGTTCCAAGGTTTTAGAGGTGGGAATTTCTGTTTAGAAGACGAGGAACGCTCCGGGCGTCCTTCTCAGACAGACGAAGATAAAATTCGGGATCTTGTTGAAAAATCACGAAGTTTGACAGTTCAAGAGATGTCAAATGTTCTGAAAATACCTAAGAACGATTCATAGGTGTTTAAAAAAAATGACATATATAACCGCTCGAAAAACGGCACGAACTTATGGGATGACCTAATATATCTTCATATTCATATTCTTTTGTGAATAACGTTTGTCATTTGAAGCAAAATTTTATCTTTTCACTAAATATATTCACTTTTAATTTATACTATGTGACCTTTTTACATAACTCCTTGAATCAACTGTTAAGTTTATTTTATTTCTTCCAATTCTTCCAAACTTCCAAAACTTCAACCAATTCGGTCGTTTTTCCTTGATTAAAAGAATTATTGAAAACAAAAATTTAGTTTACTAGAAACAATTAGATTACATTTTCGTTACATTACGTATTTACTTATTAATCAAATTAATTAATTAAAGTATGGTCGTATACGTATACGACCATACTTTATTTATTTTTATTTTTATTTTTAATAATTTTTTAAAAAATAAAAATACGTCTAAAATTTTTTCTTGTTGAATTCATTTACATATTAGTGAAAAATGAGGAGCAAACGAATTCTACTGATTTTATATTATTATAATTGTGTATTGTAAAGATTTGTTTGACATGCTACATATTTGTCGCAGATGAAAGGACACCGGAGCCTTCCCTCTGGAACTTCGGGAAAATCCGTAAAATTGTAATTAAAGTTTACAGTTGTAATTAAACAATTTGCCATCATCCTGCCCAATTGTAATTGTTTGCGATTTGTGATAATAAACTTGGGCTCAAGGCGACCATTAGCCGCCGAACGTAGCCGCGGTCAACGGGACGGCCGCTTCGTCTAACAAAGGTATGGAGCGATAGTATGACCCTCATTAAAAGAAATACCCATAGAGGTACCTGACAGTAAAATATTCCAACGGTTCCTCCGGACAATGAATACCAGATGTTGAGGCACTTACAAGGCACAAGTGCAGTTAGCCTGAGGACCCGTTATAAAACCTGGGTTTTTGTTAATTAAGGTTTTTCAAACAGACAGGCAGCCTTTGTCCCAAATTGACCAATTGACAGCGACGTCAATTTCCCTTACTTTCG